TTTTTTAATAAAGAGATTGACATTTTTATAACAGTTTGTTAAGAATGGTACAAAATTCAGAAATTTCAAAATGAAAACTCTTTCTAATCAATTGAAATTAGTTTTGAAATACAACATAGTACTTTGTTTCTTGGAAATATTAAATTTATCAGCTTGAAATTAAAACTAAAATAAAAGCTTCAAGAAAGGTTTTTTTTCTTAGGCATAACATTTTTGTAGAAGTACCTATAAACTTTAAAATGAAGCTAAAAATAGTGAAAACTGTTTTGAGACTAGGGTATTACTACTCGTCTTTGCAATACAAAAATTTGATTACCTTTCAGTTTTAAGGGGAAAATAAATATAGATATGTTTGCCTATTGTCCAGTTCACACTCCTCTTCAGTATTTTGAACAGGAGTAGAGTTTTACCCGTTCTTTTCTGTTTAGGATTGGATTTTCAATGCTTTCTGAAGTTTTCTCATTCTCTTTCACTTTCAGTAGCCTGCTTGTGTCTTAGTGGAATTATCACCTTGTTTAAGGTGAATTGATTTTAAAAAAATGTGCTCACTTATGGGGTAAAATAATGCAGTCCAAGGTAATTCTGTAAAAGACATGCAAAATGATTGGAAGTAACTGATTTCAAAAACGCTAGCAATTAGCTTCTCTGCAAAATTCATTATATCGGAACTAAATTTGGCAATCACATTTTAATATTAGATAAACTATTTACATTAATCATTTATAAAAAGAAAAGTCCTAATTATTACACTGCTTTCTTAAGTTCTGACGATCTATAATTATTGGAGTATCCGTTACTTAATTTTCTCATTTCATACACTAACGAAAATTGACATTGTTCGCATTCCTTCTAGAGTTCGGACAATACGAAAATAAAACTAAGTGGACCCAGTTTTTCATGCATTTCTAAAATTTCTATCTAACTTTTTTGTACAATGCCCGATTGAGGGAGTATTACTTTTTTGTTTGACAATATAGCCAAATTTTGAATATGTCATTGCTCATCTTTCAGTGATACGTTGAATTGTTTTATAATAAATTTGTAGTGATCACTTACATGTGCCACACTTCCGCTTTCTTTAATCTCATTGGTTCCTAAATATATGATACTTATTATATGACAATTTTGCCATCGCACATCATTTGAATTTTTCTCTAAAATCACGGATTAGTCCATTTCCTGACCAATCGTGTATTTTAGTATCTTTCTCTATTTTTGGCGCCAAGCTCACTGGAGCCTATGCATAATTATATAAACTCTTTCGCTGTTAGCCAACAGCAGTAGCAGTTCAATTCTTGGAAATTACGGAACGGCGCTATATTTCTTATGACATTTTAATTCTTAGTTATTACTCATTCAAGTAATCTTACTAATTTCTATTGATATCACTCGTGTACATTATATCTTTCCACAATCACAAACAGACTGTGGAATTATTCTTCATTTAGCTAAGACCTCAATTGAACTTTGTAGTTAAATAACATTCAATATTGTACTCAACATTAATTAGCTAAACTTACCCTTTTTATTACAGAAAAAGGGAAGCAACTTTCTTTATACTTATTGTTGAAATTTGTATATCATTGTTAATACAATATTTTATTAATGTTCACTGAACTCGATTATTTTTCTCTCGTGTATGTTGTGCATAATTCATGTGGGGTGTTGTTTTACAAGAACACAGCTTTCCTTGTTGATTTCACGGTGACCCTAGCCAACAATTCTTACAGCACCACTACAAATTGATTATCACTCTTTTTATAATTAGGTGCCAGTCATTTGTGTATAAGATCAGTCAGTTATATGTGCCATGTGTGATATACGCTTAAGCGATCATGTATCTTTCGATACATAACTGATGAGGCAATTTTTTTTTCCTGCAGTAGATTGCCATTTCTTTCTACGGTAGACCACTTGACATCCAAGGCTATAAAACCCAGTCTCTCCTGAAAAGAGGATTCATACCTTTCCTGAGGGTATTAGAATGTAATGGATTCGATTGGAATTCGAATTCGGGTCTCCGATTCCTCAATCCAAGCCGCTATCTATGACGCCACCGTGTTTAAGATACGAAAATAAAATAAAAGTAGCTAGCTCTGTACGAAGGATTGCCCAAACAAACTTGTACGTAATTTTCTCATACAAATTGTATTAAGGCTTTTTTTTTTATGGATAAATTATTTTACAAAAAAATGTTTTTTTCGTATGTTTGGAGTCACTTACAAATTCGTTGGTTCCTTAATCATAAAGCATTTTTTGTCCTTGTACCAGAAATGCTTAGTAAAAGTAGTAAAAACTAAATAATTTTTCAGTTATAACAGCTGTAGTGTACTGTCATATAAAAGATTTAAAAAAATACGTGGTTATCATTTCATTGAAATCAGGAGCTATCTAAAAAAATGTTTAAAGCATTTTTCATTCATTTTTTTCTTGGTTAAAAATGGACATTTTTTTTTTTAATTATATGGCGAAAAGAAATAAAATTGTAAGAATATAATCAAGCATTTTTAGAAATTAGTAAAATATTTCTGAATAATTCTATAACTCTTTTGAGAAGATTTTAAACAAAGAAAGAACTGAAAAACTCGTAGACCGAGAAAGTTAGTTTTTTGTCATACAACTGTCTGGCTGTACATATTAATTTTGGAATTGAATAAAAAAGTTAATTCCGTGGACAATAATAAACAAAGAAACTTACTGCTTATAATTTGATTTATCCTTCATAGAAATTGTGCAATAAATAAATTTAAAAAAAACAAACTTCATATTATATTTTCCTCTTCAAAGAACGATGTTTTAAGAAATAAAATAAAAAAAAAAAAAAATGAAAAATCAAGGGAGATAATCATTGTCGACAAAGAAGAAAATGGAAATCACTTTAATTCACTTTTCATTTCGCCTGTGACCTTGTCCAATTAGTACCGAAAAGCACAACTTGTAAATTTAGAATGTACATATTGCAGAATGTTTTAAATAGTGTTTCAGCAAGCCATATTTTTTTAACATTCAGTAATCCTTGGTGGCTTTATTGCCTTGCTTGGGGTGATATGAACAAAGCCAAAATTAATTTTTTGTCTTGTTTGTTTTTTCATTAAAAAAAATTAAGTTACTATTTTTTTTCAAATATTATTCGGTGTTTAAGTGTCTTTTCTAATGAAATTAATTCCTAAAATTTTGATAAAGAAAAATAAAATTTATGGCAATTTAAATAATATGAAGGAAAAAAAAATTTTGGAATAGATGTGATAAATATTTATACGGAATCTATTTCAGAGAATGTGTTTCTACTTGAATTAAAAAAACAAGGCTAATTTTTATTTAATACATATAAGGTGGGGTGTTCTTGGACTAACCAAAAAAATATCAACAAAGTAATGAAATGTTCAGTCCTCTCGTCTGAACAGGAGAAGTGGTTTATCCCTTGTTTATTCCTTTTCTCCTGTTTTCTTGGGGTTTTAGTTCCTTCTAAAGTTTACTTCAATTCTACGAAGTTAACAACTCTGCCTGAACTTTGAAATTTTATTTACTATTTACTTTTTCCTCAATAGGAGTAGATTGGTTCGACTATCATCTGGTTCATGCTTCTTCCAAGGTTTTTGAAGAGGTATAGAGATTTGTCCCTTGTTTCCTGTTTAGGATTGGGTTTCCAGTTCATTCTAAAGTCTTTTTGTTCTCTTTCACTCCCAGGAACCCTTTGCATCTTAGTGGCATTATCACCTTGCTTGGGGTGAATTGATTAAAATAAAAAAAAATATTGTGAAATGTCATTTGGAAACAAGAACATTCAGCATCCATTTGTGTGTGTATATATATATATATATATATATATAATAAGCTAATAAGGAATTGCTTATCTTGTCATTGTACCATCTGAAAATTGCGATACAAAAAATGAGATAGCATAATTATCTCAGTGCCCCATGAAATTTTAAGTCACGGAAAGTCAGTAAATATCTTAGTATTGTTTTTCTTGTATAAATTTCTTATATTTCTTATATATGAAGATTGCATACAAGCATGAAACAGACTGACACTATTCAGTGCTGACCTATTGCAACCAAATCCAAAACTATTATGGATATGAGCAGACCCCAAAATACCCATCGTAACAATGATAATTTTGAAGCAGGTATATATAAAATAAATTGTCTGAACTGTTCTTCATAATACACTAGTGAAACTTGCAGAATTTAAAAAAAAAAACATATCCATGAACACAAAAGGGACCTTACACACAACAATTTAGATATACATTGAAATATATTCAACAACATTTATCTAAAGAATGCCACACTTATTAAAAGAAAAAGTAAGTTATTTAGAATGAAAGTTCTTGAGTGTTCTGCTATTGAATCTTATCAAAATATAAATCTGTGTCCTGGATTTTTTCCAATATCTACATTTCTGAAAGAATTAACACTTTCCTAAGACAAGGGATGTGACGGCAAAAAATATTAATAAATTAAAAGAAAACCTCATGTTGAAACCTTATGTTATTCAAAATATATAGCACATAAATTAATCCCAAACTAAAATGACTTAAATACTTATTTGCATTAAAAAAATCTTCTAAAATATCATTTACTCGCTTTCATTTATTAGACATTGAATTGTATCACTTCATGTCCCCCATAGTTTGCCTGACATTTCAGCTAACCTGATGAATATTTATCAGCATTTCTAAACTTAAAAATTTTGAAGAACCAATAACATATTTGTTCTTGTATATAAATAGTTGTTACAAAATAAAATCCTTCCATTTGCTTTGATAAAGTCCATTAGAGGATGAAACATATTGGCTAAGATAAGTTTTCTTTTTTTCTTCATTCATATGTAATTAATTTATGTGCTAGTTATTAGTGTTGGATTGATTTTTTCCTTATGTGTGTGTGTGCCTGTGTGCATGTGTGTGTGTATGTGTATACGTATCAAATGTTGTAATTCCTTCTCCTTTTCTTGTCTGCTTAAACTCTCTCTCTCTATTCCTTTCCCTTTTCTAGACTCCTTACACACTCTCTCTCTATTCCTTTCCCTTTTCTTGCCTCCTTACACTCTCTCTCTATTCCTTTCCCTTTTCTTGCCTCCTTACACTCTCTCTCTGTTCCTTTCCCTCTTCTTGCCACCTTACACACTCTCTCTGTTCCTTTCCCTCTTCTTGCCTCCTTACACTCTCTCTCTATTCCTTTCCCTCTTCTTGCCTCCTTCTCTGTTTCCTCTTTTCTCTCTATTCCTTTCCCTCTTCTTGCCTCCTTACACTCTCACTGTTCCTTTCCCTTTCTTGTCTCCTTACACACTCTCTCTGTTCCTTTCCCTTTTCTTGCCTCCTTACACTCTCTCTGTTCCTTTCCCTTTTCTTGCTTCCTTACACTGTCTCTGTTCCTATCCCTTTCTTGCCTCCTTACACACTCTCTGTTCCTTTCCCTTTTCTTGCCTCCTTACACTCTCTCTCTGTTCCTTTCCCCTTTTCTTCCTTTCCCCTCCTTACACACTCTCTCTGTTCCTTTCCCTTTTCTTGCCTCCTTACACACACTCTCTATTCCTTTCCCTTTTCTTGCCTCCTTACACACTCTCTCTGTTCCATTCCCTTTTCTTGCCTCCTTACACACACTCTCTGTTCCTTTCCCTTTTCTTGCCACCTTACCCCACTCTCTCTCTGTTCCATTCCCTTTTCTTGCCTCCTTACACACACCTCTGTTCCTTCCCTTTTTCTTGCCACCTTACACTCTCTCTCTGTTCCTTTCCCTTTTTCTTGCCACCTTACACCTCTCTCTCTGTTCCTTTTCCTTTTCTTGCCTCCTTACACTCTCTCTGTTCCATTCCCTTTTCTTGCCTCCCACACACTCTCTCTGTTCCATTCCCTTTTCTTGCCTCCTTACACACTCTCTCTGTTCCTTTCCCTTTTCTTGCCACCCACACTCTCTCTGTTCCTTTCCTTTTCTTGCCACCCACACACTCTCTCTCTGTTCCTTTCCCTTTTCTTGCCTCCTTACACACACTCTCTGTTCCTTTCCCTTTTCTTGCCTCCTTACACACTCTCTCTGTTCCTTTCCCTTTTCTTGCCTCCTTACACACTCTCTCTGTTCCTTTCCCTTTTCTTGCCTCCTTACACATTCTCTGCGTTCCATTCCCTTTTCTTGCCACCTTACACTCTCTCTCTGTTCCTTTCCCTTTTCTTGCCTCCTTACACACTCTCTCTGTTCCTTTCCCTTTTCTTGCCTCCTTACACACTCTCTCTGTTCCTTTCCCTTTTCTTGCCACCTTACACTCTCTCTGTTCCTTTCCCTTTTCTTGCCTCCTTACACACTCTCTCTGTTCCTTTCCCTTTTCTTGCCACCTTACACACTCTCTCTGTTCCTTTCCCTTTTCTTGCCTCCTTACACACACTCTCTGTTCCTTTCCCTTTTCTTGCCTCCTTACACACTCTCTCTCTGTTCCTTTCCCTTTTCTTGCCTCCTTACACACTCTCTCTGTTCCTTTCCCTTTTCTTGCCTCCTTACACACTCTCTCTGTTCCTTTCCCTTTTCTTGCCTCCTTACACACTCTCTCTGTTCCTTTCCCTTTTCGAGCCTCCTTACACACTCTCTGCATTCCATTCCCTTTTCTTGCCTCCTTACACACTCTCTCTGTTCCTTTCCCTTTTCTTGCCACCTTACACACTCTCTCTGTTCCTTTCTCTTTTCTTGCCTCCTTACACTCTCTCTCTATTCCTTTCCCTTTTCTTGCCTCCTTACACTCTCTCTCTGTTCCTTTCCCTTTTCTTTATATCTCTTTTCAGCGCTGAGTGTCAAAAATAATGTAAGAATATCATTTCTGGTATCACAGTCATAATCTTTTCTTTTTAGGGAAATTATTTTTCTCAAATGTTCTGGAATTTTTTAAGTTAGGATTATTTTTGTGTGTGTGTATATATATATATATATATATATATATATATATTTAGTTGGATAGTTGTGTGTTTGTGACCCTGGGTTTCACACTTTAGCGATCGTCAGGGTTTGTCTGACGCCAAAGCGTGGAAACCCAGGGTCACAAACTCACATCTATCCAACCAAATATGTTAGCTCTATCTCTGATATTGAGCACTTTCTAATAAATACTATGCATATAATATATAAATAATTATACATATATATATATATATTTATTTATATTTATATACATATTTTATATATATATATATATATATATATATACACAAAAAAAAAAATATAAAAAAAAATAATATATATGTATATATAACTATATACATATATATATATATAAATTTATACAAGTATATGATTGATGTATATGGAATAAATTCCAATAAACAACAATTACCTTTTACTAAAAAGTGCTCAATACAGAGTTAGTGCAGATATAATTATTAATTTAAAAATTATAACATAAATATTTTATAAAATATGTATGTTATATAATATTTATTATAATTTTTAAATAAATAATTATATAAATATATATATATATATATAGTATATATATATATATATCTATATCTATATATATATATATAAGTGTATATATATATATATAATATATACATATATATATAAGTATATATACATATATATCGAAGTATAAAATAGTGATTTCATTGTCCATAATGTCTATCACGCTGCCTGACGAAGCCATCTTAGTGGAAACTATGCTTGCAAGAATGTCACTGTTTTGAATATTTTTTTTATTTTATATATAATACCAATAACAAAGATAGTGTAAAGCCAGAAATGCTGTCATTCATTTGAAAGCTTGAAAGGATATTTAAGGCAACAATGCAGCATTAATAAGATTAAATCATAATACAAATATGAAAAATATCAAGCTTACACCAATAAAAAATACATCAATTATTTTTTAAATTAATATAAAAATAGCAGAAATGAGAAAATAAGCAGTCAATTACTGATACTTCCTGAAGAGTGGACAGAGTGATTGCTAAAAGGTCCATCTACAAAAAAATGTCTGGAGTCGGGGTCTATATCTAACAAAATCAATCAGCTAAGTAACAAATTTCATATTTGTATTAATCCTGAATAGTATACTACTTAAACGCCATTTTTATTGGATATTTCATATTTGAGTAGACGCTTCATTTACTATTGAATAGTGAGTTCGATCCTCACTTTCATCGTCGAGCCACATCTAGGCTATGCGTAGAAAATCACTGGTTATCTGTGGTTAGCATTAGCAAGCATGTCTTGCTAGGGCTAGAGAACAATTGCAAATGTGTAATGAATTTGATCCACACTGGGTGCCACATATTTTCGTATGTACCACATCTAAGCTACGTTCAGAAAATCACCATAACTATGTTTTCTTAATTTTTTATTTTATTATTGTTTGGAATGCGGACGAAACGTGTTGGCTTTCTTACGCGCACTTGCACATAATTTTCATTAAGTTCCTGAATTATCTCCCTTGACATTTGCTCTTTTGAACTCAGATCGGGCAGAAAAGGAAATTAGTAAGTAAAGTTTTATGTTCAATATTTGCCAACAGGACGAGTAGCGACGTTCAAATTGCAAAATACGAAAAAAAAAAAAAGAATTGTTTTATGACTTCAAACAGCAGTTCATTCCGGTATGTCATAACAAAAATCAACTTAAAAAAAAGTTGTTGAACGATCAAAAAAAAAAAAAAAAAGTAAGCGGTAAGTGTTCCCTTCATTTCTTGCTTAAAAAAAAAATAAATTCATCAATAAAAAAAGTAATTTCTCCCTTAAATAGTCAGCAAGCCTGTTTCGTTAGGTCAATCAATTATGACTGAGTGAGTAGTGAGTTCGATCCTCACTGTCGTTTAAGACAGGTTGAGTTTTCACTTTTTTTTGTATTAGAAAAATGAATATTGCACATAGTACAAATTACAATAATTACATGGTAGTGTGGAAGCTGGTATTTAATGTGACGGACACCAAAAATTAGATTCTTAGATTTTACCAATTTTTGAAAAAATGTATAATTAATAATACCTAATTTACGCAGGTTTTTGCTTACAAACTGACATGTTTTTTTTTTTTTTTTTTTTTTTTACCATTTCATTGCAAGAATTAAATCCAAATAAAGTTGATGCCTTTTGCATAAATTATTAATGGACATTTCAAACCAGAATTCTAAATTATAAAATCAACGCAAAATATGTCATTTTTTTTTTTTTTTACTGTAGTAACTCAGTGTATTCGATGAGTAAAAAAAAAATAAAAAAATCCTCTGTAAACAAAAATTGTAAAAGTTTAAAAAAAAACAAAAAAACCTACTCACTGAATAAGATCATAATTAATGGAAAAAAAAACACCATACTGCTGGGCACAAAAGACAACAACATGTTTCAATATTTTTTTTTTAGTTTAACTTTAATTTAAATTAAAATTTGCATTGTTTATTGAAAATCGCACAACTGCATTCTATCATCATAGCTAAAAAATTGTTCATTAATTTCCCTTTGAATTAAACGAAGGTCTTATGAGATGGCACAATGATTTTTTTTTAGCAATAATAATATCCTTGTGACATGCATTTTTGTTGTTCATGTAAAAAACGTAAAGCTTCAGAAAAGTATAAATTTTAAAGGCTTTCTTCACTGATCACCGGAATGTAATTCCAATCAATGCTCCAATTTTGAACATAAACTTCTTTAAACTCGTTTTCTCAAAAAATGGTAACGATTTGGAAAAAAAACAACTATTTTTTTGTTTCATCATGTAAAACCCCAATTTTCAAATTGAGTGCAATACCACGGTTCCAAAATCGCCTTTTTGGCCGTGTGTTACTACAGTGTAATCCGGATAAAAGAAACCCGGATATAAGAGAGATTTTCTCTGGTCGCCAAATTAGAGCCTGTGTTAGTTAATGTATATAAAATAGACCAAACCCGGATATAAGAGACTTCTTCTCCGGTCCCGACAACTCTCTTATATCCGGGTTACACTGTATTTTGAATTTGACCTAAAAAACTAAAAATCTAATCTTTTTTTTTCTATTAGGTCGCACTACTTCGGGAATGACAATAAATAAAAAAAAAAATGTTAACAAAAATTAAAATAGATAAATTCTTTTTCAGCAAATTAATATTAAACAAAGAAAAATGACATTTTTTAACCTTCATAGTTTTTCTCTAATTTAAAAACAAAAGTTGATTTGGACGACTATTTTTAAAAATTTTCGATGATTTGAAATGTTTCTCTAAAAAATGATAAAAATCGCATCAGACGTACATTTTTTTTTATCTTATTAATTGTTTTCTATTTTCTCTAACACATTTTTACGTTAACTTTTGAAATAACTACGAAAAACAATTGCCAATGTTTTTGATTTAAGTAACGTCAGCAGATAAAACAAGGTTTTAAAAAGGAAGATTTCTTTTTCCTAACCTTTGAAAGTGGATGGATAGACAGGTAAAACATACTCAATGCTGTTGCTGTGTATTTTAAAACTGGGGACCTCCAGTAAATTTTCGATACCTAAGGTTTTAAAAAAAAAGATGCATTTTTAAAAAGGAAAAAGCATTCTTGAAGCTTTCTTTTTTTAGCATTTATAATTGAAAGTGAAATGATTAAATTTACTATTTTCAGTAAGCAAAATACTCTGGTGTATTTTAAACAGAAATTATATTGATGGGTATCTCAATGTTTCGGTTGCTTTCACAAACAAAATCATTCAAAGTCGGCCATTTTTGACACATTTGTAAACAAATGTTAATTCTCGGTTTTTTTAAAATAAAAAAAAATAGAATATGCTTTTCTGAAACTTTATTTGAGTCACTTAAGAAGTGATGATAAATGTGTCAACACCTTTATTGTTATCTGTTAAAACAATTTAAGAAAATGACAGATAAGTGCCTTTTTTTATATAATTTTTAAGTACTCAGTAATCTTAAAAATGTTGGAAAATATTCTCTGTAATTTAATTTTAGTAATGTTGAATTTAATTTACTATAGTCATCGCTTTTATTTTCTGATTATGCTGTGTATGGTTGACCTAATACGGGCAAGTTATGTAATATTTTATATACATGAAAAAGTTAAAAATTATTTAAAATCTTGATGTAAAACAACTAAGATTGAACTTTTCGATGTTTGATTAGTAAATATAGTTTTAACTTAATAACAATATCACCTAAGTGGATGAAATTAATGCAAAATTTTAAAAGATTTATATATTAAAAATTATTATAATTAAAATAAGACAAATGAAAACAATTCTTGTAAAAATTCAATATTCATTGAAAAAATTTTTTCTTCAGACAATAATAAATTTTATTAATGAAAAAAGCTTTCCTAATTAAATAATGTGATAGTTTTATTGCATTTTTATTTTGTGATTTGGAGCAGATCTCCCAGAAATTAGTAGTAATTTGAAAAAAAAAGATGATGATTTACATTCTCCAAGAACTTTGGTCTTTCCTCTTAATAATAGCATAAATATTTTGATGATAAAACTGTTTTTATTAAGTTTGGGGCCTTTTTTCATCCTGCTAAGCTGTTTTTTCAGTGAAAAAGTGGAGGTACCAAATATATATATGTTTTTAGATTAGGATATAGAAATCCTGACAAAGTTTATAAATTTTACAAATGTAAATATTTCATGAAAATAGATTTGATAATGCATTTCACCATTCAAGGCTTCATCAGATCAGGAAATGAAAGAATGAAATGTCTGTATGTGTATTTGTGCTTATGCTTAAATCTTAGTACTTTTTTTCCTAAGCTGGCATTTCTCGCGATCAAAGAAAAAAAATTAGTGACTTTTAAATAAAACCATTAATATTCATTTTGGTATCTTTTCT